TTAAGTGAAGGGAAACTGACTGGCCCCCACTCTGGCTAGCTAGGAGGACATTGGGGGCAATTGGGTTAAGTCATCCAAAGGACTTGTACCCTTCAAAATACTCAACTCAGCTTCACCAAGAGGAGATATCAAAGAGGGAAGTGGCAGTGAAAAAATAGAGAGAAAGACGTCAATACCGATGCACACAACGAGTTGAGCAGAAAGAAAATACCTCAAAGGATAGGAGGGAGATATCTTTTAGAATCTCAAGTCCATACCGGAGAGCCCCCTACGGTGTCAGCTCAGAGGCGGGAGGTCCCTCTATTTGCCGATGCTATGGAGACACCAGCTCTAGGCATTGGAGTATATGTTGCTAGTAGTGGAGGCCATAGTAAATAGGATAAGTGTCTCTGCTTTGATTGATAGTGGAGCAATTTGGTCATTTATTAGTGTCGACCAACGCTATATTTTGTGGGTGCGTATTCTGTATTGAAATTGGCCAATGGGGAGACAACAATCTTCATTGGGACAGCCCCAAGGGTGTTGGTATGCATTGGGAGCATACCTTGTTAACCAGATTTGATAACATTCCCCATGATGGATGGGATTCAGATGATATTGGGGAAAGATTGGTTGTACATCTGTTGGTGCTGAAATGCGAAGCTTGTTCATGGCTTTGATGGGCGGATTTCGGGGAAAGAAGTTCCTAGCAACGACAATGGGAATTGGACGCACCGTACTGGAGTCAAACTAGACAGGAATAGTAATCTGTCATAGAGTATATATGCGGTGCTGCCGTGTGAGGAACATCCCTCGTTATGGACTCAAAGGCCGACTCTCCTTCCCCCGTATCCCCATGAGGGCGATCGCTCCACGTAAGGGCGCCCAATCGTGATGGGCCCCAACCCCCCGAGGCCAACCGTTGGCTCAACCGCGGGTCATGATCCCAGGGGCAGCACTGTGGTGCTTGCTTAACACATCATCAACCCTTTAGTGGATTTCTTGAAGGAAATGCCGTTGATGCAAATCGAACGGCCCTCTTTGGAGTGCAGACGGGAAGCGCGAATCCACGATCGCCGATGCTTCAACGGGTTGGGCCAGACCAAGGCCACGCCACACACAAAACGCCCAGGGCTTACATATTTGTTCACCCTTCCCACAACGAAGAGCCTTGCCGACGGCGGCAGTGACCCCCGTAGCCGAACAGTTCGAGTCTTCTTGCACCCACAGAACTTTCCTTTTCATGTGGCAAGGATCATCATCCATCATCAACCAGCCAGAATGCCTTGTAAACTATATTCTCGAAGTACATACAAGTCGCACACCATTACGCATAAGTGATCCACCCAGTGAAATGGTGGTCATTATGCGGTGTTGCGAACAGATTGGTGTTTAAGCATAATCTACTTGAGGAGAGGATCACAGTGGAGCCGATCAGGGGCATTGGTGAGCAGCCTGGCATAGCTTGCCAAACAGTCGACAAGGGATTACCTAGTTTCCAACATTGTTTTGGAGTTCATTGAGTGAATCGTTTGGGCATATTGTATTTGCCTTCTTTTTGGCAATACATACTTCGGCGATGGATTGAACCATTCAGCCGCATATGCAAGATGGTGTTTCATTGCTAGGGATGGCCGATGTTCCTGAAGGGGGAACACAAACTTCTACACATTTCTCTGGGAAAAGAACCTCAAACTTCTCAAGATTCCCCTAGGTGTAGGTAAGGACAAAGAAAACTAACAAATGTGTCAAGCAGCCGGCCAAGAATAAGTTGGATTTTATTTTAATGCAACCAGGCTGGTAAAAGGGCTAGTAAAACAGACCAACCTTAGTCCCAATCAAGTCCTATTAGTACAAATATACTAATGTACAAGGAAAAAAGCCCGGAACTCGGGCATGACAGTTTTGCCTTTTTGGTCTTCATGTCCTCTATGTGGAGGCAACAAAAAGATGCAGTCTACACTCGGGCGCATCGGAGATGCGTGTATCTCTACAGCACTTTGCAGCACTGTGGCTGCCCGACAATTTGTCGGCATTCCCATCGATGGCGGATCTGCAACAATTGTTGCAACGCCTAGATCGAACCGAGGGGATCCTTGCCGCTGCCAACCTATAACTAGAGGCCCCCACAAATCTTACGCCGGAGCAGCAAGCCGCAGCGGACCATCTGTTGCGCCTATGACAGGTATTCTGTATGGAGGGCCCTTTAGCAAGCCTCAACGCCCTCCGTGTCTCAAGAACGCCCTCCCCGTCTCAAGAACGAGCACATCCCGCGCTTGGATCTCAATCCTGTGCCCGGTCCTGTCGGCCAACGCCACTGGACCAAGGCTTTTGATGTCACTGACACTGCACAGGGACACAAGATTCGTCAAGCTCTTGGTGCAGGCAGCGGATGCCACGCGTCGAGCATAAGCGGGCACTGAGGCACCACAGCAATGACAGCGATAGCCGCCCCCTCCCGTCGGCCGCCCTTGAGCGTACATCTGACGACTTCACAGAGTCGCCCGCCATCCTACCGCTTCAGTGATGGAATTCCACATAATTGCCGGAATGCATCGCAGGATTGTTGGACTTGCCTTTCCCATGGAATCCCCCCGATGGGGCGCTTGTTGTGCACTTCCTGATTGCAACATTCCTTCTCGACCCACAACTGAACGACATGCCCTTGTATACAAGGGTGGTACATGTACCACCCTTTGGCCCCTTGGCCCTGGGCAGCAAGGCATACGATATGGCAATGACACTCCGCGCAGCGATCACCAGGCCGATGGCTATTGCTGAGCGCCATCGCGGGGCTCTAGAGCCCCTTCGCGGCACAGCCACATGCGGAAGGCAACTTACCGTATTTACGCGGTATTAGTAGGCACCCCCTTTTAGTATCCACCCCCATCTTGGGGGGTCGAAACCACGTTGGTATCCATGACCCGGTGTTAGTATCCACCCCCAAAACTCAACAGAAACGAGCACAAGAGGGCTCGTTGGACTCGCCTTGGGGAGAAGAAGCTATTTTTCACGTCTGTGCTTGCGCAGCACTCTTGTTGCATGCCTTCGACGTGCAACAGTTGCTGCAAACAGCTATAGTGCGATATCCTATAGTGCGATGCACTTGATGGCTGCAAGCTTCACAGCTTAAGCAGCTGATGATCTGGGAGAGGATTCGGAGGGTGTCGATGAGTATTTTGATGGCTTTGCATCAGATCTGGATGTGGACTGCGATTGATTGTGAATGCGTTTCTGCGTTTTTGCATGGGATTTCGTAATTTTGACTTGGTGATGTGGCTGTTGCTGTACCGCATCTTGCATTTTTCATGCCTATTTTTGTGTATTTCACCGCCTATTTTGCAAAAGTTTTCTTTGTCTACTCCTTGGATTAGGGCTCTAAGCCATGTTAGTATCCATGACCCACTATTAGTATCCACCGCTCAATTTTGGGTCCAATACACGCCTACTAGTACCGGGTTAATACGGTAAATTTTGGTTTGCCGTTTTTCATGGTCGGAACTTGCACCAATGGTGCATGACCTCGCATGCGCCCACATGATCGGACCAAAGCAACACGCGACGAGCACAGTCGAGTGCTGGGCGCCATGGGAACGGCTGCAGAAAGCCACGCCTCTCAGCCCAGTTGTGCTTTGGAAGCGGGGCCCAGTTCGGCAAGGCCCTTTGTCATACTCACACCACACCATCGCCATCACATCCAGACACACCCGCGACTTTCCGAGACTGCCGTGATCATGTGGGACCGTGCCGGGAAAGCACACCTAGAGCGCAAGTGGACATGGCGCTCCGCAGCCGTGACACTGATAGCCGCGCGCCTCCCACTGGCTGCCCTCGACCACAACCACCGGCCCACCTGGGAACCCACAACATATGACTCAGAGAGCCCCGCCACTCACGTAACCCCCCCATGTCACAGGGGTCGATTCTTACACAAGAACGCTGAGAGTCAGACTCTAAAAAAATCAGTTCCGGGGCGCTCTTAGCCGCGTTCCAAGCTTACAGTATAAGACACAAATGAGGTCTGGTAGTCTTTATGCTGCGGAAATGGGCAGTGCTGCCCAGTAACGGGTCCTAAAAATATTGGAAGCGCCCTTCGAGGGGTTGTGTGCGCCATGTGTTCAATTTCGATTCAAATTCAATTGACGATTGAAAGATGAAAACTGAGCTCAATCAGCTTCCGGTCATATCCTGACCCATGAGTCGGGAATATCTGCCCAAATTTACAACGGAATACAACGCCCCCATCTCCGATGGCCACAAAAATGTGTCTCAGCGCGTGCCCATTAAGCCGGCGCCCTTTCACCCCGTCAATCCCCACAAAAAATCAAATGGCCAATGCTTAAGAATTAGTGTGCAGGACGCGTCCATCCAGCCGCTCCGTCTGCCATCCCCATACCTCTTCCAGTCCCATCTGCTCCTCGGCCCGTTCCATGTCCCGATCAGCAGCAGCAAACTCCCAGACAAGAGTTGCTGGAAACACCCACACGCACAAAATTGAAATCTTGACATACTGAATCCACTCTGCGCACGCTTCCAAATAAGCAACCATGCAATTCGCCAACATTTGAGATCACTTTAATCTTTGCATGGTTCCGCCTGGCCGTTATCGGTTGTCTGTCTAGTGTCGAGGCATTTCTCCCCAACCAATAAAGTACTGGTCGAACACGCTGCTGTCCACGTCGCCGACGCACTGAGTGCGCACGTTCCTCTTGAATCTCTGCTCGAATCCGAATGTTCAAATCTCAAATTCCAAAACAAGACGACCACCTCAGCCATGGGAGCCCTGAATTCAACCCACAGACATCCATTGACCTCTGTGGACGCCTCCCCATGGTCTCGTTCAGCGTCCCAAAACTGTTGCACCATTTTGTCCACACCCGCATTTACCATACCATGCAAACTTACATGCGAAATCTGCCAACTTCCGCTCGTCCGAGGTGCCAATTCGTGTGCAAGTTTTCTCCACATGGGCATTCCTCGATGCTCACATGGCCCCACGAGCACCCCCCTTCACCCATCACCTGGGCCTTGAGGCCCCTGACTGCAGATCCTGGCTGCCCAGCACGAATTTGATGGACCGAGCTGCGAACCGCCGGCCGATCTGTGACCCCAGTTTGGCCACCATGTCGATGGCGCCCGGTTGAGTCAGCAGGCGGTACAGCCTGGGCGCCGTGTTCTGCACCTGGGCCATGATGGCCTCCTGCGCTTGCTGCAGGTCCCTGGGGAGGGGCAGGCCCAGGGGCCCGCTGCCCTGTTGGCATTTCACAACCACGCTCATTTTCAACAACCAGCTCTCTCTTTCATTTCACTTTTTTGCCTTTTTCACTTTTTTGCCTTTTCTTGCAGGTCTTTGATTCCACAACAGTACAATTTTAATCCAGAATGCAACATCGCACTTTAGCTCGCATTTAGATTGTGATCAGGGCATGCATAGGGCAAGTATTGGCGGAGGTGTATCCCCTCCAAATAAGGACCTGGTGGCAACAGCTTGCCATGATATGTGATATTGGCTGTCACACCGATTCACAGACGGGCTGCTGACACCGTTAAAGTACTAGAAAAGGGACATCTTTGCACGAGGTAGCAAGCAGCCGTGTCAGTCTGACATACTATCTCCACACACCTCTAGCCTGGGCCTCAGGGCCCCCATGCGCTTCGCGATCACCCCCGCCAGCATCTCCCCCCGCTGCCTCGCCACGCCCTCCTGCGCTCCTTCTGGCAGCAGCGCCGCCGCCGACGCATCGCTGCCCAGGCTGGCCGCAAGCCGCCGCCGCGCGTCGCCCACTGCCATCGCGTCCACGATGCGGGACAGCTCCGCGACCAGTGGGTCGCGCACGCCCTCGGCCGTGGGGGAGACCATCCACTCGGCCAGCAGCCAGAGCTGGGAGGCGTCGAAGTCGCGGCTCTTACTGCCCTCGCGCACCAGCTGTTCCATCCGGCTCCAGCGGAACTGGCCGTTCTGGGGGTGCGCGGGGTTCAGCGACTGCTCAGCTCGTGGTTCATCGTGTAAGCAAAATGATTGTATCATCCACGTTCATCCACGTGCATGTTCATTGACGAACTATATGTTGTACACCCAATGTTGCGATGTCCTGGAGGCGCGCCGGGGGGCGGGGGGCGGGGGGGCGGGCAGCAACTGCTCCTTGCGCGGTTTACACTGGAAGCAAAATTGCCTTTCCACTTCGTCAATATTGGGACAACAGCCCGTCGTAAACGAGCGCAGCCGGCATGTCAGTTTGCGTCAATGGCGATCTGTCTGAAACCTTCGAGCACTGTGCGTTTCCACAAATTCTAGACGGTTGGGGTCACAAAACCTCATGATAGTTGAGGCTCTCCACAGTACAAAACAACAGACAAAGTGCATAGCTTTCTTGGTTGCCTCCGATGCGCAGTATTTATCAGGGTTTTGTACGTCGCAACAATTCACTCCTCTCAACATCTTTTTGGTCAATCTCTTTCAACTGAGCTTCATGTTTTGAAAACAGTCTAAGTAAAGAAATACACCACAGGTGAACAATGGCACGAGGAGCAAGGTTAGGAACCTCAAGCAACGCGCCAGCAACAGCAATACTGCCACTAGTCGTGCAACACTGCACAAGCACTGGCTGAAACCGCCGCAATTTGAACACACACCTGAAGCACGAGATCCTCAAAAGACGACCTCAGTTGGGGCACTGGGTCAGTGAGCAGGCGCCGGGCCATGTATGGGTACGCCCGAGCCAGCAGCTTGTACTCGGGGTCGATCTGCAGCGCAAGGCCCTCGAGCACCGTCAAGGACCTCAGGATGAGGGCGTAGTAGGAGGGCACACTGTGGAAGGGGCACACAACACATGCCGTCGATCCAAGCACATTGTACACATTCATGTAGACTGCACATGTACATACTCCCACGTACCATATGTGCACTATTGGCTTCATTCTTGTCTCATGTGGTATATGTGCACATACACGATGCTGTGGGACGCTAGCATTGCCAGTGAGACGGAGAACCCAGGAAGTCCTGAGGAGGTCCATGTGGCAAGAGGACACAGTGCTATGCTGACAAAAAGACATGCAACAGTACACGTAAAGCACAGGGCAATTGACCAAAGCACAACTTGGTTCCATTTCACAACCCGAAAGGACATAAAACTATGCACGCCAAATCGCCATAAGATCATTCAACAACTACTCGCAACATCGTCACTATTAATCAGAAAATCGTTCACGAAAACATGAAGAAAGGGTGACGCCGTCAGTGCTCACTTGAAAGGAAATGCGAACAGGACCTCTCCGAGACCGTCAACGATCGCCTTGAAGTTCAGTTGGGCAACGGACTTGTCCAGGACGTTGTCGAAGAAGGCGGCCAGTGCGGGGGCGATGGGCGACGTGTCCACCGAGCGGTCCATGAAGTCCAGGGTGTAGTAGTCTTCACACATCGCCATGTAATCCCTGTCAACCAGGCACAACCAAATTTTGAGTGCTCGGACCGCTGGGGAACAATGCGCAACTTCTATATGCATTCAAGCCTTGTCAAAATCAGAG